ATGGGAACTGACACAGTTACTTTTTGCTGATGATACTGTGCTTATGGGAGATTCTAAAGAAAAATTGAAAAGGTTAGTGGATGAGTTTGGTAATGTGTGTAAAGGTAGAAAGTTGAAAGTGAACATAGAAAAGAATAAGGTGATGAGGGTATCAAATGATTTATATAAAGAAAAATTGGATATCAAATTGGGGAGGAGGAGTATGGAAGAAGTGAATGTTTTCAGATACTTGGGAGTTGACGTGTCGGCGGATGGATTTATGAAGGATGAGGTTAATCATAGAATTGATGAGGGAAAAATGGCGAGTGGTGCGTTGAGGTATGTGTGGAGTCAAAAAACGTTATCTATGGAGGCAAAGAAGGGAATGTATGAAAGTATAGTAGTACCAACACTCTTATATGGGTGTGAAGCTTGGGTGGTAAATGTAGCAGCGAGGAGACGGTTGGAGGCAGTGGAGATGTCCTGTTTAAGGGCAATGTGTGGTGTAAATATTATGCAGAAAATTCGTAGTGTGGAAATTAGGAAAATGTGTGGAGTTAATAAAAGCATTAGTCAGAGGGCAGAAGAGGGGTTGTTGAGGTGGTTTGGTCATTCAGAGAGAATGGATCAAAGTAGAATGACATGGAAAGCATATAAATCTATAGGGGAAGGAAAGCGGGATAGGGGTCATCCTCGAAAGGGTTGGAGAGAGGGGGTAAAGGAGGTTTTGTGGGCAAGGGGCTTGGACTTCCAGCAAGCGTGCGTGAGCGTGTTAGATAGGAGTGAATGGAGACGTATGGTACTTGGGACCTGACGATCTGTTGGAGTGCGAGCAGGGTAATATTTAGTGAAGGGATTCAGGGAAACCGGTTATTTTCATATAGTTGGACTTGAGTCCTGGAAATGGGAAGTACAATGCCTGCACTTTAAAGGAGGGGTTTGGGATATTGGCAGTTTGGAGGGATATGTTGTGTATCTTTATATGTATATGCTTCTAAACTGTTGTATTCTGAGCACCTCTGCAAAAACAGTGATAATGTGCGAGTGTGGTGAAAGTGTTGAATGATGAAAGTATTTTCTTTTTGGGGATTTTCTTTCTTTTTTGGGTCACCCTGCCTCGGTGGGAGACGGCCGACTTGTTGAGAGAGAGAGAGAGAGAAGAAAAAAAAAAAAAAATAATAATATAATAATAATAATTTCTACAAGTATATGTACAAGGTATATAGACCATAGCTGACATCAATGACATACTACTATATAGAAAGCCACTTGTTATGCAGAGCATTTCCCACAAATTAGATCAGGTTTGTTCCAGGATGCGATCCACACCAGTCCACTAACACCCAGGTTCCCATTTTACTGTTGGGTGAACATGGTCAACCGGTGTAAGGAAACATCCGATGTTTCTACCCCTTTGCTGAGAATCGAACCTGGACCCTTGCTGTGTGAAGTGTTGCCACCAGGCCAGTATTGCTTATGGGGAGCACTGTGACTGAGGTCAGTACTGCTCATGTAGACCTCTGTGTGTGTGTGTGTGTGTGTGTGTGTGTGTGTGTGTGTGTGTGTGTGTGTGTGTGTGTGTGTGTGTGTGTGTGTGTGTGTGTGTGTGTGTGTGTGTGTGTGTGTGTGTGTGTGTGTGTGTGTGTGTGTGTGTGTGTGTGTGTGTGTGTGTGTGTGTGTGTGTGTGTGTGTGTGTGTGTGTGTGTGTGTGTGTGTGTGTGTGTGTGTGTGTGTGTGTGTGTGTGTGTGTGTGTGTGTGTGTGTGTGTGTGTGTGTGTGTGTGTGTGTGTGTGTGTGTGTGTGTGTGTGTGTGTTATAAAAAATAATCTGGGCAGCTACAATGCATCTTGGAAAGGCCATACTAGTCTACAAAGCAATACCATGACTAACTATACACAAATAACCCACACACAGGAGAATGAAACTTATGACGTTTTGGTCTGACTTGGACTAACTAGTCTGTGTTAGTTTATCATTGTTCATCATGGCAAGCCAAGCTGGATACTCTTACTCCCAAGCACACCGAGTGTTGATTATTCAATACTGAGAGTTACAACATTAAGGAAAAAGATTATGAAACAGAATTCTATGGCAGATGGCTTTATCATTCAGTTGAACATTTTCACAAGGAATTAACTTCTTCTACAAGAGTAAAGTGGATCTCGGTACTCGAACATCTTTCTACTCAAACGAAGCTCAGCATTCGACCAAACAAACATGACCTGCCAGAACTTCGCTGTAAACTATTTCATGTTTCTTCGCATTTTTTTATATACTTGTACGTATATATATTAAGTTAATTCCTTGTGTTAACCACAAGTTTACGTATATTAATATTTCCCATTGTGAAGCTAAACCTACTGATGCCAAATATAATTAAAATTTCAATCTAGACTTATAATACCCAGTCTCTTGCTCAATTTATTACCCAATCATTTTATATAGGTTGAAATTAATCTCACATTGGCAAAAATCAAACATTTTTGCTAATGTTCAAGAGTAAGTGTATGACATTACGTGACCAATACATGTCAACTGGTGGGTCTAATATACGTTCACAAATGCACAGATATTATTTATACAATTATTACAATATTACATAACAGTAAATCTTCTGTTTTTTGGTGTGAATAAAAATTCTTTATGTAAATAAAAAATCAAAATAGAATTCATCTGTAAAGCCTGGAAACACAATTAGTAAACAAAGGAAATGTTATTTTAGTGCCAGGAATGGCTGCATTGCTTATTCTGGACCTATTTTGAAATTTAAATATTTTGAACTGTGTGAAATTGGCCAAATTACCAATTTCTGATCACTTTACTGGGTAGTTGATATAGTTGATCGGGTAGTTTCTTGTGCTCCATCAATAAAATACAAGTAATACTAGTGAAATAGCTAAGAATTTGGTCAACTGGAATAATGATTTTTGGCCTAAAATAGAAGTCAAAGTGGGCAAAATCACAGGTGTGTAAATATCTTGGACGCAGTAAAATTTGCTATAGTATAATTTCGTCAATTTTCCATTAAATTTAGTACCTTTAGTTTTATTACCTTCAGAAAACGATTCTCTACTATTTCATAAGTAAAAAAATTGCTTTTTAAATTCTCGAATCCTCAAGCAATGAAGACGGTGAAGCGAAGTCACAGGCAGCATCACCATGTTAAATTCCATAGGTAGAAGTAGGTCATGCCATTAGGTTAGCAAATGTAGAATTCACTGTATCAAGATCCCAAGGAATTGTACATATATGGGTCAGAGAACTCGCAGGGAATTCTACACTTGCCTACCCTTGCCTAACCTATAGGCACGACCTTCTTCCACCTCTGGATTTTTCTACAGTGACACTGTCTACGACTGCTTCACTTCACTTGTCTGTGGTTTATAAGCTCCTCAGTGAATATGCTGTACTTTTATCAAGAATGATGGCTGATCATACTGACTAGTCTAAGGAACTGATTACCTTAAACTCCTTCTGATCTTCAACCATTCTTCTCTGTACTGGACTGAGAAAGCCACTAGCTGGCAAAAATGTTTCCACAATAACGATACCCAAGTGCTGCACACGTGTCTCATCAGCTTGTTGGTTTTCTCCTGCCCCTCTCTCGTATATAGCCTCTCCTCAATCAACAGCCGAGTTCCGTTCCTAAGACCACATTGGTAAATGAATTCGTCGCTAAGTGAGGAGCATACGATAATGGTAGCGAGTTTGTGTCAACCATCTTTGATATCGTTTTAATGTCACCTCTGCACCCTTTATAACATTTATGGTATACAGTGGACCCCTAGACATGAGCCGGTGCGGATAGTGGCCAAATTGGATTTCGGCTGCTTTTTTGGCTGAAATTCTATCCTGGATTTTGGCCGGCAACTAGGAAATCGGCCATATTGGACGTGTTCGCCCACCACTCCGCCGCGTTCATGAGTCAGTCTGGCTGTGTGTCTTAGAGAGTGAGCAACACATACATTCATCCAGACATTTCGTTATAATCCATTGTTTTTCGTGGTCGTTTATCGAGTCCAACTGCGAAATAAACCACCATGGGCCCAAAGAATTCCTAGTGCCAGCCCTTTGGTAAAGAAAGTAAGTAAGAAGCAAGATAGAATTCAGTGACAAAACCTTGTCCCACTTCAGGCAAATCTTAAAGAGACGCCTGAAACAGACCTCTCTGGACAGTTTTTTGTGCGACGGGTGTAGTGACTCAAGCTGGTCCTAGTGCCAGTAAAAGACAAAGAAGGGAAGTAACCCCAGATAGAGACTTGATACCTGAAGTCCTTATGGAGGGGGATTCCCCTTCCAAACAATAACCCCAAGTCCCTCTCCCGTCCTCACGTTCTTCAATAGGTCAACATGAGTCTTCAATAAAGGTATGTAATGTTCATTTATTATTAAAATTTGTGCTTTATATTTATTTCTCATTGTTTTCTTTATGTAAAACAATAGTTATTCTTTAAAATATGTAGTTTTTGTTAATATTTTTGGGTGTCTGGAATGGATTAAGTGTACCTATTTACATTAATTCGTATGGGAAATATTACTTCAGTTTTCGTCCTTTTTGGATTTAGGCCGATCTTCTGGAACGGATTATGGCCAAAATCTGGGGTTCCACTGTATTTTTAAATGTTTAAGCAGTAGTGTACTGTATATTGAGATAAAAAGAACAGAGGAAATCAGCCTAGTATACATTTAGGTATGAATACTCTAAAGAGAGCCAGTCGTAAGTCCAAGGCATCAGTAAACGAGGACGTCACTAAGTGAGGAGAGGCTGTATTATAATAAACATAATAGAGGAAATCAGCTCTGATATACATTATTTAAGTATGCATACTGGTCAGAGAGCCAGTTGTAGGTCAGAGTTGTCGGTAAACGAGTACATTGCTAAGTGAGGCAAGGCTGTATATAGTGGCTTGCTTCCCTCAAAGGGTTAATGGTCCAGGTTGGACCAAAACGTCATCATAAGTTTCATTCTCCCGTGTGTGGGTTATCTGTGTATTTCTACAAACATACAGTTACAAACACACCGATGTGGCAAGTCCTGGGAGAGGAATCGCTGCGGTGGGCGTAAAGATGCACCATTTCTATAGGACTTTGGAGTGTCAATTAAGCTGTCCGAGGTATCAGGGCTGGCTGGAATAACATCTGGGGAAGCTTCAGCTGAGCTGATCATGACGACAACCAGGAGACTACGTAGACCATTAGATACGTACTTGCCCTAGTTTACAAAATCCTGAAATACAATATATAGTAAATAAAAAAAATGCTCTCAGAGGAATACAATACAATCTTTTTAGCAGAAAATATATCAACTGTTTAAACTTTAAATTCCTCCTAACTACGATTAATCAAATTCATATTCAACATGACAAATATCAATGTTAGTTCAGTCTTACCATACATACCAGAAACTGAAAGTTCTGGCTTACAAAACCAAGGATACTAACATCTCCAAAGAAATATAACTAGGATTAATATTTTATGGATGAAAAATTAAAATAGGTTACAGTACACATCACTCAGAAATAGACATATGATGCATACTTTATAATCTTAAAGGCATTATAAAGTCTATAATACAAGCCCAAAATAGCCCACACTGGTTGAGACAATTTACTATCAGCACACTGTCTGGTGGTTCTTTAAGGGGTGTGGGGAGGCTGTCGGTAATTTAAATCCAATGCTATGGAACACTGGGACCAACCGTTAAACAAATACAGTAGGACTCCCTGTATCCATGGGTCCGGTATCTACGGTTTCAGTTATCTGTAGTTAACTGTGGATCAAAAATAACCCTTAATTTTACTCAATAATGGCCTCAAAGTGCAAAAGTTGTGATGGTGTAAGTTCTTCAAGGCCTAAGAGAAGCTGTGAACTGCTACCCATTAGTAAAAAAGTGAATTCTCCACTGAATGTGCATAATTTATCAATTAAACTTTATAATAGGTTTGTATGTAAATGAAAAATTATTTATATAAAGGGTTTGCTACCATCCATGGTTTCAGTATCCACAGCAGGTCCTTGGAACATAACCCCCGAGGATACTGGGGTCCTACACTGTACACTAGCAAACGGAAAACAAGCTAACTCCAATAATAAAATTCTCAGCCACAAAATTATGTATATAACATAGTATGGAACTTTCATATTAAATCATTCAGGGGCCTTCACACAGGACAAATAAATCATCTTATTACTTAATACAATCTTAAAAAAAAATAGCAGCCAAAAAAGCAGTATGGTAAACTAAAAAAAAACATTAAGGAACTACAATAAAGAAAAACCATACATAAATTACAAAAAGTCATGGGTATATAGTAGCCTGCACAAAGATAAACTCGGGAAAAAGTCAATAATATTAATGATATTGTAACAATAGAGAGAACTGGGATAAATATACTGAAATGAACCCTTGAAGACATTAGATTTTCAATGATAAACTATTAGGTTTAATTAAAACAAATTAGCAGGGAAATTATTTAACATCACAGAATGCAAAAAGTATGGTACATGTACACAACAAAATGTGGCTAATATTTAAATAAAGACTACAACAATAACCTGTCATTATTTACTTCAGTGGCTCTGTTTTTATTACCGTATTTTGCGGCTTGTAAGACCTGTTTTAGCTTTGATGGCTCGGCATTGGACGTAACTGGGAGAGTTAGAGCCCACCCTAAACTCCTGTCGCTGACCTTGAGGCTATAGGACGCAGAGTGGTTTTTGGAGACATTTTATGGAAAAAAAAAAAAAGTCTAATAAGCTGTGAAATACAGTAAACCAACCATTGGCCCAAAATATAACCTAAATGCTGAAGAATTTACATAACAATCCATATTTAAGTTATTTAGGTGTTTTAACTCGTACGGTTTAAATATATTACAAGGACCCCAATGGAAATAAGTCACTTTGACATTTTTGGGTGATCCTAGGTAAAACACACACATTGCTATGCATGATTCAAAACTCTATTTTTTTTTTTTTAGTTTACAATGTGAGGTTTACATATTAAAAATACATATGAAGTTGTACATACAAAGAAAGCCACTAGCATGCCTAGACATTCTGGGCAGACTAATCTTCCTTCTTGGACTACTATATATTGACACAGGTTATGGAGTGCTACATTCTAATGTTTATTATTACACATTATTTCAAAAGATAGGTAATCAAAAATTTTATGATTAATACGATTTATCATAGTGAGGCAGCAAAAAACAAACCTCGGTTTTCGTCGTGAATTAATTCCAGAAAGTTTGACGATAACCGAGTTCGATGAAAACTGAAGCAACATTTTCGATAAGAAATAATGTAAATCCAGTTAATCCGTTCCAGACACCCATAAATATTAAAAAATTCATTTTATAGAGAATAACTATAGTTTTACATACAGAAAACAATGAGAAATATATACCACTAATGAAATGGATATATGAACATTTAATTAACATCACTTTTACCTTTATTGAAGACGTGTTGGCGTATGGAAGAAGGCGAGGAGGGGAGAGGGAGAGGTCATCTCTACCACCATCACTACCACTCTCTACCACAATCACCACCGCCCTCTACCACAATCACCACCGCCCTCTACCACAATCACCACCGCCCTCTACCACAATCACCACCACCCTCTACCACAATCACCACCACCCTCTACCACAATCACCACCACCCCCTACCACAACCACCACCACCCCCTACCACAACCACCACCACCCCCTACCACAACCACCACCACCCTCTACCACAACCACCACCACCCTCTACCACAACCACCACCACCCTCTACCACAACCACCACCACCCTCTACCACAACCACCACCACCCTCTACCACAACCACCACCACCCTCTACCACAACCACCACCACCCTCTACCACAACCACCACCACCCTCTACCACAACCACCACCACCCTCTACCACAACCACCACCACCTATTACCACAACCACCACCACCCTCTACCGACAAGAAACAAAGCCAGACTGACTCAGAATGTGTGGGATGCTTTGTGTGGGCACAGGCAGACACGTTCGGTATGGCAAACCACTGTCAACTTGACAAAAACCGAGGTGGTGAACGAAAACGGACAAAATTTTGACGAAAAGAGTGGTCGAAACCAAATTTGACGAAAACCAGGGCAAATGAAAACCGAGGTTCCACTGTAATGGGAATGGTTTTATCTCTGTATGCTACCATGTTTTCACAATGTTGAAAGTCCAATATAGCAGAGCATTTCAGGCAAACTTAGAACTAACTTAAGATTAAGAAGGTGATAATTTTAGGAATTTTATGTTTGGATTTTAGTGTTTGGAAGAAATACACCTACTATCCGACTTACGACCGAGTTCGGTTCCGATAAACCGGTCGTAAGTCGAAATGGACGTAATTCAAAATTTACTACTGAATATCAACATCACATTTTTGTAATGACTATTTTATAGTTTTATTTTGGTATTTCATGTTTTACTTTACTTTTTATGCTGTTAGTACTGTATTTTATACTGTAAGGTTTAGGATAAACACTGTGTACAACACAAATAGTGGTTTATTTCCCAGAAATTTGGCATAAAAGACACGGTCGTAAGTCGAGTGGTCGTATGTCGAGCAGGTTGCAAGTTAGATGGTAGGTGTACAGATAAGGAGAGTAAGCTATTTTGTTTTGAACATGTTCCTGACACTGAAGACAAGCATGGTGTAAGTTTCGCATAATTAGCTGATGTTGGGATACGCTAGAGAGGTGTTTTTTAAAGGTAGTTTTGAAAATGCTGACTGAGTTAGTACTTCTGGAGATTTCTGGCAGAAAGTTCCAGATTTTGGGCACTTTTATGTACATTGAATTTTTGAAGAGATTTAGCGGGACACAGGGAATGTCAGAGAAATCTTTATCTAGTGTATTATATTTATGCATTCTGTTGCAGCTATCAAGAAAGTGTTTTAGTTTGGGATTAATATTCGAATTTACTGCTCTGTAAATGTACACCTACCATCCGACTCACGACCTGCTCGACTTACAACCACTCGACTTACGACTGTGTTTTTTATGCCAATTTTCTGGGAAATAAACCACTATTTGTGTTGTACACAGTGTTTATCCTAAACCTTACAGTATAAAATACAGTATTAACAGCATAAAAAGTAAAGTAAAACATGAAATACCAAAATAAAACAATAAAATAAAGTCATTACAAAAATGTTTTGTTGATATTCAGTAGTAAAGTTCGACTTACGACCATTTTGACTTACGACCGGTTTCTCGGAACCGAACTCGGTCGTAAGTCAATTGGTAGGTGTAGGTTAAATAACAAAAAGGCACAATACCGTGACTGGAACGATACACAAATAACCCGCACATAAAAGAGAGAAGCTTACGACGACGTTTCGGTCCGACTTGGACCATTGACAAAGTCACACTGACTTTGTCAATGGTCCTAGTCGGACCGAAACGTCGTCGTAAGCTTCTCTCTTTTATGTGCGGGTTATTTGTGTAGGTGTAGGTTGCCCGGTGGTAGGCATGAATGTTTTGTATAGCGAGTAGGTTTAGGTCTTTGAAGAGTATAGGGAGTGTTGTCTAGAACTGGATTGTGTGATAATTTGTACTGCAGCTTTTTGTCGAGTTATTACTGGCTTTAGGCAGGTTGCTGTTGTTGATCCCCAAGCACAAATATAATAGGTGAGGTAGGGATAGATCAGTGAACTACATAATTTATGGTAATTTATGTAACAGTATTTATGTGTACCTGTATATGAATAAACTTACTAGCTAAAATAAATAATGACTGAATAATCTTAAAAATTTCTGGTAACAAATAAAATCCAATGAATATTAACCCTTTCACTGTCCATCACATGTAGTAGATCTCCATAAAGCATACCACGGGTGGGGTCTGAACCCGCGATCAGAGTGTCTCAAAACTCCAGACCGTCATATGGTATGGTTTGTTTACAATTGTGTCATTACGATTTTGCGAGTCAAGTAGATCTACATCACGAGCTCAGCTCACTCATAAGCTTTGAGCGGTAAATTGAGGCCTAGATATTTATTAATTTATTTATTTGTTTATTTATTTATTAATTTGAACATGATACAGTGAAGTACAAAAGAATACAGTTAAATGCAGCATGCCAAAGCCACTTGAATGCAGAGCATTATGGGCAGGCTTAAAATTAACTTAAGATTAACTAAGCAATGATTTATTCTGCGGTACAAAAATTATTGTAAAACAGATAACAATTTAGTACAAATCAGTAGAATGGAGTATTCTGTTAGGTAATGAAATTAAATAGTAACAAAGTTTGATTGGGTCACAGTTTGACATTTATGAGATACAATAATGAGATACATATATGAGATACAATTACATTCAGTATTTATTTAGTTGTGGGCGAGTCAGTGATTTTTGAGAAGAGACTTGAATTTATAAACAGTGTTTCTTTTATATTCACAGGTAATGAATTCCAGATTTTAGAGAATGAGTCTGTGCATCATGAACTGCATGCATGATGCACACTAACCTAGCTAAATAACAAAAAAGGCACAATACCGTGACTGGAACGATACACAAATAACCCGCACATAAAAGAGAGAAGCTTACGACGACGTTTCGGTCCAACTTGGACCATTGACAAAGTCACCTAGCGTTTGGTTTAATATAGTGACTTTGAGGCATTTCTATGATTAGTTTTTATGATTGTATTTGCTGTTTCTTTGAATCGTTTGACAGAATGAAAAGCATACTACTGAAAGATGATATTGGTTGGTTCCAGGACCTGATGTAGCTTAAAATTGGCCTCAAAGCAGTGAAAATATTCAATTTTTGCTGATTTTCCTGAGGACAGTTAAGGCAACCCTACACCCCCAGTCTGTTTTATGTTTTTATTACGTCTGATTCAGTTATTGGGAAGCTATAATCCATGACCAATCACTCCTGGTTATGTTTTATTATTTGAGAATTATTATTATTATTATAATCAAGGGGGAAGCGCTAAACCCGGAGGATTATACAGCACCTGGGGGGGGGGGGACACGTGGAAGGCATTCATGCTTAATTCGGCGAACTGGAGCACAGATCCAATTCCCTAAATCAAGAACCCATCACCAACATCAAGGAACCTTCCTTGAGGGGTATTATTTGAGATTGGATAAATTTTCGATTTTTTGTTTGATGAATTCAAACTGGAAGACAAGTGTAAGATAGGAGAGGCCCCGGGACATAATGAATCGAGGAAATGGTATTTTACACCCTGGAATTTCTACAGTGTTTATTTAGGCACTAACTTTGTGACTGTACAATTCCATAATTTTTTCATCAATTTCAAATTTTTGGCATCATTACTTTCAGAAAAAGATTCTCAACCAATTCAAAAGAATTTTTTTTTTTTTTTTTAATTATGACAATGAGTACTTTCAATTTTGAGAGTCTGGGCAGTGAAGGGGTTAAGAAACAAAATCCACATCAGCTATTTCCCCCATTAATGATCCAAAGATTGATAATTCTCACCTTTGACAAATGTGACAATGGTGCAACAGAGCACAAAATGAGTGATAAAGGAATAACAGGAAAAGTTGGTTGATGGAACTATAAATTCCTAATAGAACACAAATAGTAGTAGTCAACAGAGTAAAGTCTGAAGTGGCTACAGTGAAAAGCACTGTTCCACAAGTCACAGTACTCGTTCCC